ATGTCACTGACAAAGATGTTAAACAGTGCCAACACCAGTACTGACCCCTGAGGAATGCCACTCATCACTGTTCTCCACTTGGACATCGAGCCGTTGACCACAACTCTTTGAGTGCGACCATCCAGCCAATTCCTAGAGTGGTCCCTCTGTCAAATCCATCTGTCTTCAATTACGCAAAGGCTCACATAGGCTCAATAATGTGGTTTATACTTTAAAAAGCTCAGTGGGCATATTGCAGAGAAAAACAAAACAGTCTTCAAAAAAACAGCTCAATGAAAAGAGTTTGCATTCCAGTACTGTCCTGTCATACTGAGGGGCAGGAATAGAAATGAAGTGTTTATGGGCCACCATACCTTCCTTGTGCTCTGTTTAATAAAAAATTATCGAAGACAAAAATAGAAGTAACTGTGCACTGTCTCATGCTGCAGACCAGGAATGTGAAGTGGGGAAAGAATTCTGTGCTCAGAAGAGAAAAAAAAATGTTCAGGTTAATACTCTTGCAAATTTGACTCTGTAGTCAGGGAAACCCACCCACCTACCCTTATGCTTTGGAGAGCTGGTCACACATACTTTAATACTGGCTGAGATCACGGATTTTATTAAGTCAGTAATGTTACTTCCTCAGTGATACAAATAAATAATAAGACTGGTGTTAGATAAATAGTTTCTATAGCAACTGAAGTTGCTTAAAGATTTGCTAATTCTTTGCTGTGAGATGTTAGCAGATGTTCTGGATGGAGTGTCATCTCCCTCTTAGCCATGTTTTCCTTACACTTTCAAACGATGGGTAAGAAAGAGGATCGTCCATTAGAAAACTGATTTCCACAGGCACTTTTTGTATTGTTTATTTGCACAAATTGCTTGGATATCCACAATGCTCATTTTGACTTCCAAGACTTTACAGAGAGAAAGAGACTTGGGAATCTTCCATCTATTGCTTGTCAGAGCGTTGCTCAGCATTTCAGAAGAAATTTTGATACTGGCTGTCTCCTTGATAGCTGCCAGAATCTGCAGTGAGGAGGCTTAAAGAGCATATCCAGTCTGTCCCTCAAATACTCGGTGTAACTTGTAGTTAGCAGCACACTGGGGACAATTTAAGAGCATCTTAAGAAAATAAATGCAAAATTTCAATAGACTCCGGTTGAGCCGCGTAACATGGCCTGTCATATAGGGTGCAGGAAACAATTTGTCCTGTTCAAAGTCACAAAACCAAGGGGAGCAGTTGTCCAGTCCCTTTTCTAGGGCTTTTTTCCCCTTGAAGTTTGGCAAGCTAGAATTTCCCCACCTGAGCATCTAGATGCTGCTGAATTTCCAAGCCTGTTGATCCCCTGGGAAATCCATGCCTAAGCCTCCATACCCAGGGAGCAACTACAACAGGGGTATCACACAGGGTTCTTTCATTGTTCCTTTCTGCACAGTAAGACAAGAAGTTGCTGCCTTTCTGGCCAGTATGACCAGTCATGCTGGCGTCAGCCTACCTAGAGAGGGTCACCGGACTCGGACATTGCAGAGTGGAGTGTAAGTATACTTTATTGAGCAGGAGTTATCAGATAGCACACAAGAAATATAGACTAATTTTGAAAGCAATTTTTAGCCCCTCTGCACTGTATTCTCTTTCAGGAGAGATATGGGGAACACATAAGGGGGGACTGGGCATTGTAGTCCATCTCTGATGGTACCCAGATAGCAGAAGGGTACCCAGACTGCATGAGATAAATTGAAGATACCGTTGGAACTGTCATAAGCCAGGAATGGCTTGCCGTGGTATGTCCTCCCTTGCAGGTGTGCCACATCCATTCCCGACATCACCAAAGGAGAAGCTGAAGATGTCCAGGAGAAAGGAAACAGCACCATGTTCTGGCACGGAGTTGTGCTGTACTCAGTCAGGGATCTCTGCACGTACAGCTCTGTGGAGTGGAGATGCCCCGCTCTTTGGTGACAGGCGCAATGACACTTCTTCCTGGGGATGGCACTGCATTGCAGACCCCGTAGAAAAATTTCCACAGCTTATGTGTCTCTGATTCAACAAAGACTGCAAGCACCTAATTTTGCATTCATTTTTTGCAAATATTAATATTATTTTGTGAATATTAAGCTTAGCAGGATATTGGAAGACGTAACTGGAATGAGGCATTGAGTTGAATCTGAGCTTTTTGTATCTAAAAGAGTCATACACAACTCTAAAATCATTCATAGAATCATAGAGTAGTTTGGGTTGGAAAGGACCTTTAAAGGTCATCTAGTCCAACCCCCCTGCAGTGAGCAGGGACATCTTCAACTAGATCAGGTTGCTCAGAGCCCCGTCCAACCTGACATTGAATGTTTCCAGGGATGGGGCATCTACCACCTCTCTGGGTGACCTGTTCCAGTGTTTCACCACCCTCATTGTAACAAATTTCTTCCTTATATCTAGTCTGAATCTACCCTCTTTTAGTTTAAAACCATTGCCCCTTGTCCTATCACTAAAAGTCTGTCCCCATTGTGGTCCTTTTCTAAAAGCCATCAGAGAGAACATGAAGCAAGTGCAAGAGCCAACCCTTTTACCTTTTTGAGACCAAAGGGTTTATGAAGCAAGAGTTTCTCATGACAGACAAATAAAGGAGCACAATGCATGTGTTTCTCATTGTCTCCTTGCTGACAGACATACTTGAAATGGAAAATAATAATGATAAAAAATTCAAAGCCCTTCCAGGAGACCCTGACTGCCCGTACTAAGGGTGCCATGAAAAGAGCTTTTCATGACAGGAGCCACAGTTCTCAAGCAGAGCATGTTTTATCCAGTATCGATTTCTAGTTTGAAGCAGGGGTGTCCCCTGCCTCAGATTTCAGTGGCAAAGGAGGAAGGTCTGAATGGGAGGTACGTAAGGTGATGCTGCCTCTGCACTGCCCGCAGTCCCAGAGAGGCTCAGCTCTCTGACACAGTTACTTACAGCCCTTTCACCTGCCTGCAGCCCAGAGGTTGCTAACAGTTCCATTACTCATTCCCTGAGCTTCTCCCACTGCCCCATCACATTTATGTGAGAGAAAAGAGTACTTATGGCCATTTCAGATTCTATTAGCAAAGCTTTAATGCAGTCTAGAGTCATACAAAGTGATAAAATTGTATAGATACGGAGCAGTCTGAATATTACCCGATTTTTAGAAATTGCACGCTTGCCCTGATATTACTAGATAATTATGGAAAGTTTGCAGTTATTTCCTGCCTTTTGACTCTACGGGTCACTAGCAGTCATTGCGTGCTGGTTTCCTGCAAAGCAACTCAGTGGATAGAAAGATATTTCCAAAGCACAGACATGTGGCTGTGAAATCACACCAGGAAGCAGTCAGGTCCGTGGGATCCTACAAGCAGGGGTTTTTTTCTCCTCTCTTGGTCACCCCCCATTGAAGTGGGCACTTCACACAAGGGTGGTGTCCCTTTAACTGATGTTCCCTTTGCAGTCAGATTGGCTGTATTGCAACATGGCAGTTGCAATATCCATTGCTAAAGAGCATCTCCTGCATTTCAAGAAGTTCAGTAGTAAATATGCCAATGAAAATTTGTCATACCAATAGTCCAAAGATGTGTGTGTTTATATATATATGTATATGTGTACATATATAAGTATACATATTAAGATGCCCTTTGTGTCCCTGGAATAGACAGATTATAAATACAATTTATTCCTGGAAACTCCACATATCCGAGTGTGTGGACCTTGGGAAGGGTGTGATCCTGTTTGCTGTTACTGTGATGCATTTCTCTGGTGATACTATTATGTCTATGCTGAAGTCTCTAGCTACATTGTCCTGGTAAAAGATGTATATATTGTCCTATGTTGTTGAAATACTTTTATCCAATTTTTAATTACCCTTTAACTTGCAGATATGGCATGAATTGTCTAATTCAGTTTGAAGATTTTGCCAATGCTAACGCTTTTCGTCTCCTCAATAAATACCGCAACAGATACTGTACATTCAATGATGATATTCAGGGTAAGTACTGTTAGGAAAATGCAAATTTAACCTTCACCTTCTCATGAGGAAAGGTGATTAAGATCACAAGATTGTTTATTATACAATACTCAGATGCCTGATAAATTTTAGAGTTTACACCGAAGCATTTAAAGATATAAACAAAAGCACAGCAGTCTAAGTTGAAAAGTGAGTCTCCATTGGTTTTAGTAATCTAGCTGTTCACTGCAGCAGTGTTGTTCAAGGGAGAAAATGAATCATTATTAAGGTAATTTAGAGACTGCCATTAACTTGCTATAATTTAGCTAAAACAATGGTGACGTTTTAACAGTTATGCAAGGCTTTCAGTTTCCCTGAGCCAGGTGCACATTAGCTGATCCTGGCAATGTCCCTCTATTGTTCTCCTCCTTCTTACATGCACAAGCGAAAAGGTAAACCAGCTTCTTTCCTCTCCATGGATGCTAACTCCAGGGGAATCTGAGAACAGATGTGGTCTCCCCTGGAGTGGTTAACATCACTCTTCCAGCGCCAAGGAGAAATTACAGCAGCAAAGCTGGGGGTATAACCAGCACATCTCCCAGGTCCCGTTTGGCTCAGTGGTAAGCAGAATTTCTCAAATGCAAGCTACATGCTGGTGGCATCCTGATCTGGTGCTGGCCTTGCTTTAAACCATCGGAAGGGCTGCTTGCCCATCCGACAGGGACAGGATCTTCCCAAGTGATTACAAATAACCAGTTCTTCTTCTGTGGGTCCCTTCGTCTTTTCTTCTTTTGTCTAGTCCTGCTTGCAACAAATTTCCAAGGTTTGTTGATTTAATTATTTGCAGTCAGTTGGGCTTATCCTCACTTGTACTTGAAAGAGACTGAAAGAAATGCCAGTGTCATTTTTCACACAATGCTGGTTCTTTTGTGAGCAGACTTTCCAGCGCTATTTCTGCATCTGCTACCCATCTAGCAATATTTGGCAGTGTGCGTAACAGCTTGTTTGTATCTGTCGTGGCACAAGAGGGAGTAAGACCCTGGCTGGTGGGAATATGGTTGGTGTGGTGGGATGCATGGTCCCACTCAAAGACACTTTCATGAAGAGGGTTTAGAAGCAGAGGAGCTTAAGGCATTTCAGACAAGGTGAGATAGATGTTCCTGTACAAGAAGACTCATTAGGTGTTCTTGCCACCCACAAAAGCTTTCAGTGGAGAGAAGCACAGAGAAAGAGGACATTGGAAATATATTTTTGAATGGAAGTCTTGAATGGAGGAACCAAGAACTCACTTTTCTGGAGATGGACAGATGAAGCCTATAATAAGAAGACAATGAAGTAAAGATTTATTTTAGATTAGTTGCTCTCTCTGCAAGTGGAAGGGCACTCTGCAGTCAAAAGGATAAGAGGCCAAGTGATGTGACAGATCTGTGGGCCTGGACATAGGTGTTCTTGGGGGAACTAGAGTGAATTGGAAAGGTTTCTTGGTGAATTGGAATAGTTTATTCGATTGACAGAGAGAAGAAAAAGAGGATATTAAAGCAAAACTGGAGATTCTGAGTGGGAAGCAGGAGACTGTATTTTTTGTAGTTTCTTTTTGGCCAGAGGTCATAGCTGAGTGCCTGAGACAGTTCCTGGAAATGAGTCCCCCGGAGGGGCAAACCACATCCAGGAGGATGCTGTAAAACAGCATTGCCATAAAATGGACCTTGTCCGCTTCTCCCCAGTTAGATGTGTGTCATGGTGCATGGGAGATGTTGAATCCCCTGAAAATTCTCCAGAGTCCCACCTATTAAAACAGTAGGATTTTAGCTCTTACTAGTAAAACTCCTTTATATTCTCAAATAAAGCATCTAGCTGGCACTGATTTCACAGTAGTAGATAAGGAAAGAAATCCTGCTGATCTTTTGTGCAGACAAGTGATGAGTCAAGAGAAGCAAGCCGCTGTTGCAGGTTTTTTTATGTAGCTGTCAGAAAGAAAAAGGGATTCCAAGCCAGGGTCGTAGTCAGGAATGAGTTTGGGAGACCTTTAGGAAGCTGATGTAACTTGGATCTGCTGAGTTAACTGTGTCTTAGAGTCATGTCAGAGTTTAATGGAGTTGAAGCTGGGATGAGCAGTCTGATTTACCCACCCTAATATCCCCCTCTGTATCCCCAGATGATATGAGAAAGGTAGGAAGTGCCATTTTCTCACTTACACCCTCCTGTTCTTTGGTTTTGCCTCAGGCTCTCTCTTTTCTAACGTCCTGGTGTTTCATGACTTGCCTACTTTAAAAAAGTGGGAGAGTTCAATGCAAATTGTGTTTTAAATGATTAATGAGAATTATACAAAGCCTTGTTTAAGCAGGCTTCATTTTACTCAAGTCAGGCAGGAACAGACCTCCTGAAGCCTGAATTGCTTCTGAGCCAGCATTGTTTTAAGTATATTGACTTAAAAACACATCTTAGGCACAACCAGTGCAAGTTAGATCAGGCCTGAGCTATACTAATTTAAACTCATTGCCCGTTGGTTAGTGGGATGCTGAATGCAATGTGCCTACAGACACACACTCACAGAAGAGATGTGGGAAGAAAATATAAATTGCTCCACTTAATCTCCCTTAGGCCTCCCTCTTGCTGCCCCAGGGCTTACAGCAACAGAAAGCAGTTTAAAATATTAATGTCTGCTGCTTTTTTTTTTTTCATCACACAAATTACTGTATTGCCAAATCCATCCTAACCCCACAGAATTAAAATGATTCAGACCCCTTCCAGTTCGAGCCAGCCCACTGATGCTGAGTGGGACGCCTGCCAGGTACCACAAACGGGGACGAGGTGATTGCTCTCATTCTGAAAGCCATTAGGCTGGGAGCTAGCAGGAGCTGGCTCACGGTGCCCGCGCGTGGGAGCTCCCCATTAAGGGAGTGCTTCCCCCCCCTCTATGGGGGGGATGACATCAGTCCTTTCCCAGCTCTGCCTGGGTTCATGTAAGGGGCAACAGCTTCAATTTCAGCTCTATGGGAGAAAATTCATTGTCACTTCTCCCTTTTTCCCAGTAAAGTACCAGGGCAGGCAGTGAAGCACATATGAAATTGGAGGGACAGAAGAATGCTTTAGATCCTGCTCTTTCTCTTCCTGCTGTAACTTTGCTCCACTTAATTGTGCAGAAACAGAAAGCAGACAACCGAAAAGTCTTACAAAGGTGTCAAGTCTGGTGAATACCCGAGACGGCCATCTCTGGCTTTGTGCTTCATACAAGAAAATACATAAAATCATTGAAGAGGTTAGTTTGGAAGGGACCTCTGGACATCACCCAGTCTAACCCTTCACTCAATTAAAAGATGTTTTCAAAGTTAGATCCCATTATGACATTAGATCAGGTTCCTCAGACCCTTGTCCGGCCAAATGATTTTCAATATCTACAAGGATGGATATCCACTAGACCAAGTTGCCCAAGGCCCCATCCAGCCTGGCCTTGAACACTTCCAGGGATGGGGCATCCACAGCTTCTCTGGGCAACCTGTTCCAGTGTCTCACCACCCTCACAGTAAAGCATTTCTTCCTAATATCTCATCTAAATCTACCCTCTTTCAGTTTAAAGCCATTACCACTTGTCCTATCACTCCATGCCCTTGTAAACAGTCCCTCTCCAGATTTCTTGTAGGCTCCTTTAGGTACCGGAAGGCTTCTATCAGGTCTCCCCACAGCCTTTTCTTCTCCAGGCTGAACAACCCCAACTCTCTCAGCCTGTCTTTATAGCAGAGGTCTTCCAGCCCTCTGATCATCTTCCTGGCCTCCTTGGGACTCTCTCCAACAGCTCCATGTCTTTCTTGTACTGGGGTCCCCAGAGCTGGACACAGTACTCCAGGTGGGGTCTCACAAGAGTGGAGTAGAGGGGCAGAATCCCCTCCTTCAACCTGCTGGTCACGCCTCTTTTGATGCAGCCCAGGACACGATTGGCTTTCTGGGTGAGTGCACATTGCCAGGTCATGTTTTGCTTCTCATCCACCAACACCTCCAAGTCCTTCCCCAGGGCTGCCCTCAATAAATAAAAATCTGGCTCCTTTACAAACACTCAGTAAGTAGTTGTAGACAGAAGTTAGATGCCCTCTTTGCCTTCTCCAACCTAATCAAACCCTTGTGCTGAGAGCCCCAAACTGGAGATGCTGGTCTAGATATGACCTCAAAAGCGCTGTCTAGACTTCTGTTGACGCATTCTAGGAGGCCGTTTGCCTTCTGTGCCACAAGGGCATATTGCTGGCTCATCTTCAACTTGTTGTCCACCATTACCCTCAAGTTCTTTTCTGCAAAGCTGCTTTTCAACCATCACCCCCTACCATGTGCTGTTGCATGAGGTTGTTCCTTCTTCCCGGGTGCAGGACTTTGCATTTGCCTTTGCTGACCTTCAGGTGGTTTCCCTGAGCCCATGTCTCCAGCCTGCTGAAATCCCTGCAAGTGACAGTCATTGATCACTATCCCCAATTTGTAATCATCCATGAACTTGCTGGGCATGTACTCTGTCTTATCATCCCAGTTGTTAATAGAAAGTAAATAGTACTGGTCTCTTTGTACCACTTTGTACTGCTGACCACAAGCCTTTGAGCCCAAGCACTTTTTCACCCACCTGATAGTCCACTTGTCCAGTCTGTATCTTTGCAGTTTTGCTACAAGGATGCTTTGGGAGATTATTTCAAAGGCCTCATGCAGGTCAAAGAAAGCAGCACCCACTGCCCTCTCCTTGTCCACACAGGCAGTTGTCTCGTCATAGAAAGCAGCCAGGTTGGTCAGGCATGATTTGCCTTGGGAAATCCATGCTGTTCTCAATCACCTTCATGTTCCTAGACCTGCCTTCCAGGAAGCTTTGCTCTGTAATCCCTAGGTGCTGAGGTTAGACTGACTGAGCTAAAATTCCCTGGATCCTTCATCTGGCTCTTCTCGAATATGGGTGTGACATTTGTCTTTTTCCAGGAAGTGGGAATCTCCCAATTACCAAAGCCATTCAAAGATTGACTTTGTAATGCCATTGGCCACGTACCTCAGCATCCTCAGATGCATCTCATCAGGTC